CTGGCCATTCTCCGGGACTTGTTAAGCAGCAGCTTTTTTTAACCCATAACATGCCATTTTTCCATTGCACTTTTATTCTCAACGTCGATGTAAACAACCCGTTGCTCTATTTTTCGCCTTAGTCCTCATTTTCTATCTTCCATTTTACCGCCCTGGTCAACCGACCACAATTCAGATGGAACCAAGAACACCTTAATTAGTCTGACTTCTAGGGCTATTCTGTTGACTCTCTTCCTTTTTTCGGCGCACCTTCTGACTTCATCTATCCTGTCTTTTTCGCCTTGTCTCTTCCTTTGACTTATGGACTACATTTTCTCCATTAGGTCTCTGGCTTACTGATCAGGAAAATACGAGAGCTACTGACACATCAGCTTTCACTCTACTGGCTCTCTTCTTCTGACCTATAACTGTTGGACCGACACTAAACGCTTTACACTGTAAAAACTCTTCTCTCCTGCCCTGAAGCAAATATTTTGTGCACTACGGCATTTCTCAGGAACCCAAAAATTGATTTCACACCACCAATCTCCCAAATTTGATCCTACAACTGTTGGAGCCATCTCAATTATTTCCTCTGGAAATTCCTTTTAAAGAAAGTTTACATTTCTGAGGGTTTGTCTCCGGTGATATTTTGTACAATCTGTATCGGACAATTCCGGACAAAAACGCATCATGTTCTCATTACTATTCCTTCATCCCTTTTCTATTTGTTTATTTCTCCCCTACCACTGTTGGCCACGACTGAGCCGTTCTCCCGAGGTGATGGATAAATGCTTTCGAAAATACATTACACTCATGAATTGCGAGTTGTTACGAACACACTGGCGAATATTAAAAGTTCTAGACTCGAAGTGGCTAAATGATAGCCGTATGATGGGGAGAGCTAACATATTATACATGCTCCCGCATAGATTTATACATATTTATGTATAATGTGACAACATGATGAGGACAAAATTGCATATGACAACAGCCAAAAAGGAAAGGCGCGTCAAACAAATATATTGGCTACTTTCACTAAGCCAAAACAGCACGTGGCCAGATGAAATTTGCAAGTGAAGCCTGGAAGCAGGTCTCCGGGAGACGGTTCCATGAAGGGTCGTATTACTTTATCTGAACTGACGGCTATAACAACTTTTATTCCTACTCTCCACTTCTCCATATTTTACTACTTATAAATGATTGAGCACCTCAAACACTTTAATGTTAACATAACAGATCTTGAAAAATCCCTCCACTATCCAACTTTGTTGTACCAGTGATCAGGCTGGTATGTTACCTTTGTCTCGCGTATCAAAATTTAGCGTTTATTTATTTAACCTAAAAGTTTATTCTTGTCTATATTTTTCATATGTGACTTCATCATCTTTAGTACTATTAGTATTTTAGATGCGTAAATTGTCTCCTGACCTTAGTGATAACCAAGACCTCTGAATTACACATGTATTCCGTCTTAGTGTTTCCCTTAGTAAAAGCGGCCTAGCTTTGATATTCTGTGTGGACTCACAGATACATTTAAGTCACATAGTCCACAATGTCACCCATGACTGTCAGCTAGCACTGAATCGATTCAAACCAGGATAATCTCCACGTCCCTCCTTTGGACTCTGCTTCTTTCCTGATCTACATTCTTCCAACCTTTATTTAGTCCTTTTTCTCATTATTCTCTCTCTCTCTCTCTCAATTTAAGTTTTAATTCACATCTGGATTTTCACCTAGCCGTTTCAGGTTTTACCTCACTTCTCTCCGCCTGTATTCACAAGCCTTTTTCCAGCTATACTCTCACCTTAGTTCTCAATTTGCTGTTCAACTGTTATCCTTCTTTTTACGAGTTTGTTTCATTGGTTGTGAAATGGGCACCTGGATACACTAGCCATCTTGTCTCTCTTCACTTTACGCCTTAACTTTCCCACAAAGTAAACCCCTAATTATACCCTTATGGCTAAGTCACTAATAACTGGTGAATGTTAGTTTACTTATTTTAGCTCATTTTATTGTCTTCTTGGCCTCAGTGAATTTTCCTGGTCTCCTCTCCTTTCAGCACTTTTCCCCATTTACTAAGTACGACTATATACCGTTCTCTGCCTACAAACCTCATGAGAAACTCTGTACTTTACCATGCAGAATGCCTTGATACAGCGACGTTTTACATCTCTATCCCATTTAATTTTCTCATCTCAGTACTTTAATCTTTTCCTGTGAAGGCAGTTTGTTTTTGCGCAGTGAATTTCCACAACATGCACTATTTGCATCTTCGGTTGATTCGCTTAATAATGTCAATCCAAGAGGAATCCTGTTTCCGAAACGAGTACCATAACTACCTGAGTTTTGTTACTTGCAATCCAGAATTATTTTGCATGCTTTTGAAAGCTGCTTTTGCTATTCGTGCTACACGTTCGCGACAAATATAACAATGAGTATTAATTTATTCGATTCACTGGAACAACTGGAATATGATAGAGTTTCGCACATATTTTCTCATTTTTCATTTATTGTCTATGAATGAATACTGGCGTGAATTCGCATATTGTGGGTTTTCCGCATTCAGTCTGATTGTGGTAAATACTGAATAGTCCGCAGTCGGTTGGCATTTTCCCATTTAAAAACGTGTTTTTATCTGGTTAGTCTATTTTTAGATACTTTTTGTATCCGTATATGAATAATGATTTACCACGGGTAAAAAAGCATATGATTGACAAGTCCCGTAGATTAGGGTAAAAGTTAAGATTGCAAGGGTCAACAAATTAGTAAATCGTAATTTTAATCGTCCACCGAATCAAATACAATACTGCATAATGTTAGTTTGAAATGGGAATGGGATGTGCACACGCAAAATAGTATAGAGAGCTGTTATAGTACAGTAAATACGTGAAAAAGGAAAAGGAAACGACAACCCCACTCGTGTGTTGCTTCATTTGACACCTGTGGTACGTTACTCCAGTTTAGATACATCCAGCCTACTCACATGGACACCTTTGCATGTATCCTCACCGCCACGTTGTGCAGGGCCGTTAAGAGCGTTGACGACTTGCGTTTCTTGGTCCTCAATGATATCAACCTGCATGTCGGATCGATAATAGTGGAACACTCCGCCTCCTCTACTAGGTCCATCGTTTCATATGGAAGTCCTGTCGGGTAGAGAAATCTCAGTATCCGTGATCTCCGTGTTCAGCCATGTTTCGGTGACCATAACTAGGTCCCAAGACGCGGAGACCTGACGCATACGAAGTTCGGTTAACTTGCTGAAAAGACATTGCGCATTCGTATATAAGCACGTGGGGGTATCGGTGGTCAGAAGCGCGTTTGTGAATGCTGGTTTCCGGCGAGGGTCTATGCCGACCCTTGCGGGACCGGCTGCCGGTCGTAATTTGTAGGACCGATGACGCAGGCCCTAGGGTCAGTTCAGGTTGTTTTATAGAATTCCCAGCACCAGCAAGAAGGTGGTCATCCTGTCCTCCTTCAGCTGCCGACTTTTGTTGGTATTGTTTCCGTTCTGAGATACGCACGTAAACTTGAATTTCGGTATGGCTTGTTTACGGGAACGTCCTATGGCGTTATTTTGTTACTTTCATAGAATAAAGCCACCTAAAAATTATTTACAGTGTATACTTCCATGCATACTGAGTGATGCTACCATTTTTGCTTTTGTTTGCATATTCTTCGCCAACGCGTTTTAATGTCATTACATTTTACCCGTTACTACTTTGCTGCCTAATGTTCACCACTTCCCCTGCTTTGTAATTGTTTCCTGGTAAATATCCGACGATTAGGAGGCTGTTTTGAATGCTTTGGATCAATATCGTAGCGATGAATGCAGTGTCTGTTATGTGTAAATCTGCGCTGAATATAGGCACATTCTGCGAGACTCGCTCGATTCCCCGAAATCACGACGTGCACCGTTAGCCCCAATATCCCATGATTTTCTCCTGGTCGCCTCTCCGACATTCCCCATTCACGAAGCCTCAAAACCAGGATTGCGAACACCGTAATCACTGCTCACCCCACACTAATTTTTCGTACTCGGCTTCTCCTCCACTACTTCTAACAAGCGATCTGCACATTGTGTATTTTCCTATATTTTTCATTTGTTTTGCATATATGAAATGGGATTACAATGCACACCGCTGCTACTGCGACTTTGCGTGACGCCTTTTCACTTGCTCATTATGTTTGCTTATGACGCATGGCCGTCAGCATCATTGCTGTGTACATTATGATCTGTCTCTAGGGGGGAACAGTTCACTTTTTATGCGGAAATAAAATATACTTATTATGGATCATGCGGTTCCTGTTCCATAACCGACCTACATTACTAACTATGATCCGTGTACATCGACAGACGTCACAGTGTGACGAGCGGTGCACTCGTGAGCATTGTATTACTCAATCGAGATGGACTCCTTTACGCGTGCCCCGTGGGGACGATATGGAAATAGATCAGTTCACTCTTCCTTTTTATCGTCATCTCTCTTCCTACCTTGTTGTCCTCATCGCAACCATCCTCACGGAATTCCTAAGTAGTTGGATTTTTAAAAAACCTGTATTACACTGTTGGTCCACACTATTCGGCAGCTTAAAGCATACAAATCCTCGGTGTTCGTGGGTGCATTTCCGTAACTGGTGTGCTTTATGGGGTAGCCATCTGAGACAGTCATGAGGCCCACTCAGAGCAGGCCAGTTGCTTCACACCTAATATCATCTATGTGGTGAATATCCGACGTTTTTCTATAACCCCACAGTTCTACGCACATTCGTTTCGCTGGATTATGTTACCATGGAATCTCTTATGCCGAAATGAACACACTTCCTCTCTAAGCACTAGGCGTTTGGGCCCGTGTCCATTCAGATGGTTATTCAATTGTGTACAATTTTTCTATGCACAGACATTTGTTTATAAACCCGTCATATCGATGTGGACAAGGCTATGTGGTTAATGTGGGCGAAATGTAAGCACACACATCACAGCACCGTAAATGATTAATTTCTAACGACAAACTTACTCTGTGCAGCAAAAGTAAAAATATCGGTTGCACGATAAAGAAGAGCACCTTGGTTGCAGTGTATGGTATGAGCTTTTCGTATTCATCATGGTCAACTGAAATTTCTTTGGCTCGGCACATAGAAAACACGATGGCCAAAATGGCAAAAACTGCAATGCAGATGGAGAATAGAACGGATATTACCATAAGCAATCTGTCCATTTAACAGTGTCATCACAAACGGTTGTCTGTTTGACGTGTTTCAAAGTACATTTAGGTGGAATGCGTTCAGCAGTAGCGCGGAGCATCAAGTCTGCATTCTCAGCGCTTGCACTTGTCGCTCGGAAAGCGAGCAGCTTGCACGGTGCCCCTACAAACCTGGTTACAACCACCAGAATGATCCACCCGGAATTGCTTGTGTTTACTTTGCTACCATAAGAGCTGATCTACCACATTCACTGTTCCACCTCCAGAGTGCAACATTCGTGTCGCTTGAAACTGTTTCCCCTAGACTCTTGTTTTCGACTAGATGCAGAGATTTCAGGAACAAGGTAAATACTCAGTGATGCGAAGATAAATTCCTCACTGACGCAACTCACTAGTCGTTAATGAGTCCAAACATTCAGCGTTTACGACAACATAACGTTTATACTTGGAGTTATCGGACACATCCATAATTCCTACAGACTCTGGCCGTTTCATTCGTGATGTGGCCGCTCTAAAACCCAAATCGGTAGAAAATTCAGTAGTCTGCGAATTGAAGAAGCTTATGAAGGTGTGAGTGGTTGATAAAAAACTGATACAATTGCGGCCTCGGGCATCTCGTCTTCTTCAGATGTATGGTCTGTGGAAAACTATCAAGGAGGGCATCCCCTACGTCGAATCCTCTCAGTAGTAGGCTCACCGTACCAAAATTTGGCCAAATAGCTAGCCAAACTCATGGGACCTATCCGGAGGAAATTAACCGGCTTCAACGTCGAAGCTGCACTTGAATCTGTTGACAATCTACAGGATTTGAATGTAAAGAAGGGACATATGATCACTTTCGATGTATGCTGATTACCCATGAACGTCCACTTGTAAGAAACGTTAGACATAATAGGCAGGCATACTGATAAAGTCGGGTTCTCAGCGCCACAACACGAGTTCTTACTTTGCTTACGCACAAAGATGGTGAGTCCCGACTCAACGGAACCCTTTCTCTACAGATCGACGGTCTATCCATGGGTAGTTCATTGGGTCCTATTTTAGCTGATATCTGTATGGGTCGCCGGGCAAATACCGAGCTAGGTTCCTGCACACGAAATGCACACTTTTATCATCGCTATGTGTAGGCTGATTTTTCCGTCGTTAACACTGCTCCGCTATCGAATTCACGATTAGGAATGAATCCGATAGTAACCTCCATCTCCTGGATAGTAACTTAGAGAGGAGCGCAGATGGTACAGTTGTTCAGTCGGTATGCAAGAAATCGATGTGGACAGAACGATATACCAATTTGAGTCGTTTCTACCCTAAGGACTGCAAACGGGCTTTAGTCCGTATCACTCATCAAATCGTGTCAAATTTGCCCCCCAGCTACGGTCGAAAGTGAATTGGTATGTATCACCTCTACTTGACTGGAGAACGGTTGTCTCAGATACTTCTTAGAACGTCAAGCGAAATCAAATACCAAGAATAACCGATGTCGCTAAGAAAAAGTTATTCATCTTATTGCCATTTAAATGGACCAGGTTAACAAATTTTGGTATCGTCTCCACTAATCCACTTAACAATGTTCCTAGCTGACTGAATTAGTGGTTGCACCAAACAAGAAGATTGATGTGTAAATCCAATCTGGACAGACCAGATTCTTAGCCTATCGCTTCATGCATCTAGATGTTCCACTGTACATTGGCCGAACTGAAAGGAGAATGTCCACAACGATGGTAGAACAGATTCCTTCTAACATGCAAACGGCTTCAAACAATTTACCAACTCGCTTGTCCTGTGTGCCAAAACGCAGGTGAATCGTTCAGAGTAATTAGCGAAGAGACACCCGACTACTACAGTTTACCGAATCCTCAGCGATTCGGTGACTGAAACTCAGCGGATTTTGTGACCAGCCTCGTCCTGCCTACTGAGATCAGTGCTCGCTTTACTTCAAACGGACTGTACGTGAGCTCAATAGCCATTGAAGGTTTTAACTTTGAATTGTACTTTTATTACCTCTGTATGCAACTTGCCATTTCACCGGTTGCGCGTATACTGTTGATGACAGTACGCGAAATATCTGAATTCAGCCTGTTCTGTTATATTGTGTCTTCTTCTAGTCTTTTAAAATTCTTGAAGAGAAAGACTCACGAAATTCATGTTTATTTCGCGTAACATTTGCATTGTACGAACTTGTTTTCTCGTTGAACGCAATCAAATATGCTTTATTTAGTATCCTTCTGAAGCACACAGCGGACCGTTGGCTACCGTCGGAACCATGCTGTCTATGTCTGGGACTCCAGGGAGATACCTTCCTATGCTTTGCAACGACTGCGCTTTTTCTTATCACCCTCAGAGACTGACGGCGTCAGAGTGGAACAGATTTTCGCTTTATCGAAAAGGCAGGCGCATTGCACACTGCAGACTAAAGAACTTTTATCTTGGCAGTCAATATTGAGAATATCAATAAATTGACTCCATGTTCAGTTAATTAGCATGTTTCCGTAAATGCTGTATCTGAAGACTTGCAACGTCCACGAAGTGGTTACAGGTTAACTATATTGGATGGTGCCAACCTATAGCATTGAATCTGTTCAATTACCTGCATACTTTGACGATTGTTATGATGTAATCCTAACCAACGAAGCCAATCCAGTTAACACCTTTAAAGCTGAACGAGTGATATGAAGACTCATTGAACTCACTGCAAAGTCCGATACGTAGGTACAAGCTCACTGGTTCACCGCGCATGGAGAACAGGATTTTGGAAGCCGTTATATCTCCTTTCTCCACTGCTTCTAGACTTGCATTCCGGTGATAGAAAATGTACGCGAGAAGGTACAGCATGCCGATGACCGACGTGAGATACATCAAGGTGAAAAACCACTACAAAGCAGAAGAGGTAACCAATGAGTTTGCAAAGGTGCAGCTGCTTTTTTGTCTTTTGCTAGTGACACTGATTTATACTATCACAGAGATCGAGATGATAACTTGATCTAAATAAGCCGTATTCCAAAGTGAGATTGCTTGTCGTAACCCAAACTCACGACGGCACCCCAAAAAGTCAGCAAGAAAATCCTATCAGTTCTGGTGAGCGACGTCTGCAGAGTTGCGTTGCGCAGGGATGAGGAGTTATACTAGCAATCAATACGTTTCGGATTCTAGTTCCGGCTTCATACTGCGGTGATTGTAACAAGTAGCATATACAATCTGACGACTCAACCGTACTTTGCTTTTATTGACGCTAGGGGTAGTCCATGTATTAACGTGTGGGGTGTTGTATTACCACTCCTTGAGGAGACTAACCAGTCCGCCAGTGATAAATAAAGCAAACGACAAACACATGGTGCTTTATTCTCAAGCAAGTCGTCTAACACAGACAACCTTGTACTTATGGATGACGGACCATATTTTGGACACACCGAATGCCAACGCAATCCGAACTCCCGCCGCAGTCGCGTTCGCAGCAATCGGTGCGTGCATGCTGTCCAAACTCAGGTCACAGTCACCGGCCTTGTGAGTGGCGCACACTTATTCATCGACTACATGTGATCTCATGACAGTTCTACATCCTTTGTGACAACGTCTAAGTGATGAACCCAGAGTGGGATAACTCTAAAACGGATTCCCAATACACAGTAGGCCACGGATCTGCGATCTAGCTTGGCAACCAGGTATTTTAGTAAATTCCTTGGTCTTGTCTTTGAGTCCAAATACGGTATCACCCCCTGTGCTACATTGCAACATGATAAACTTTGTCGTTTTGTTGCAGCCGAGTGGCCAGTCGTAGTTGGACTTTCGGAGATGGCTAAATTCTGAGGTGATCGTGTAGGAGATCGAGTTTAGTGACTATTGTGCTTACGCTGCAATAGATTCTGGATCGCTCGCGGTGGCGTTTTGCTCTACATCTGCTCTTTCAGCGTCTACAAAAGCGACGATAGCCTGTGTGAACAGTTGTGGTGGTTGATCCGCTTCAATGCGGAGTTGATCACAGTCCCCTGAGCCGTTGTTTGGATTGGCTGCCGTATCTTCGAAGCCGCATGAGCCGCCCCCATTTTCTACTCAAGGGTGTGCTTAATTGTCCTCGAGTACGTTGGTCCCGATGTTGTGAGGTCGAAGCAAAGTTCGTGTTTCTGGTACTTGAAACTGTGGCAGCGCAGCACATATGCCATTCTACACGTATAACGCCTCGCCCGATTCCGTCCTGTATAGACTTGATGTTGACAAGCTGTGAACACAGTGTTTACGACGTGCAGATCCTGTTGCCCCTGGCAGCAAGCGACCACTCATTACTTATGGAGCTGCATTTACCGTATTCCCATCCGCTGAAGCCAGTTTACCTGGTCTCGATGGTTTAACTCGATCCGCGAATCACGTGAATTGGTCTCTGCCACAAGCTGTATCTGTGGAGCACTGTTAGTCAGTTATTATAGTGAGAGTCATGTGGTTGCATTCTTCGTTTGTACCACCGAAGTGTTTGAAAGCTGTACCAGCCAAGGTACCTTGATTCGACAAGGAGTATGATAAAATCGCTTGACGGCTGCGCAGCTTGTGGGACAAATAGCTCTTCTATGGCTCTTCCAATGACTACTAGGTATAAAGAAGCAGCGAAACGTTTTCAACCGTACAAAAAGGGCAAGCGCCGACGTTTCGAATATCAGCTGGCAAAGGCCGCCCCGAAGCGAATCTTTGGTTACGTGAAGCGGCATCTGAAGCCGGCAGGTGATCTACCCGTGCTAGAGGGCTCGAACTGAGTGTGTCCGGGTTGGCGACGCACTTCGTTTCCGTATTTACAAATGACCAAGTGTCTGCACCGAATTCGCCCTGTACCGCTCTTACCAAGCTCGACAGTCTTGACTCCGGTGTTGAAGAGGTGCGTCAACTACTCACCAACCCTGGGGGCACCAAACCTGCTGCGCATGGTGGATTCCCCCACTGATTCTCAAATCAGTGTCTAACATCATCGCACATGCTGTGACGGACTTGCTCAACAGGTCTCTGTCTGAAGATTCATGGCCCAACAACTGGAAACACTCAGTTGTAAAGTCAATTCTCAAAGTCCATGGCCCAAGCAAAGTGGCCAACCACAAGACAATTCGTTTTACAACTATTTTTCGAGGTTGCCGAGAAGATCGTGAAGAAGCGTCCGCTACAGCTGCTTAAATCGAAAGATCTATTGATGCCAGCACAGCACAGTTTTATGCGAGGTAGCTCATGCTTTACCAACCAGGTGGTTTCAGGCAGTGAACCAAAGGAAATCTGTCGACGTGATCTACATAGATTTCAACAAAGTGTTCGGCAAAGTGAACCACGTCGTTCTGCTCCATAAGCTGCGAGTATGCGGTGTTAATGACTCACTAAACTAGTGGAGCCGATAGTTTCTCGTTGGACAAAACTGGAGGGTATTGTTCGACCGCCATCCAACCGACTGTTAACACACAACTAGTGTGTGCCCCAAGGCACGGCGCTTTGACGCGCTCTGTTTCTAATCCAGATCCACGATCTTTGTTTCGTCGGTCACCGTGTACCCTATTTGCGGACAATCTGAAGATTTGGTGATTAATTGATGCTCATACGACTGAGGTCTACTTCGGCTAGACCTCAACTGTGGACTCATGTGGTCTCCAACTATCCGTCTTCCGGTCAATCCAGGTAAGTCGGTATGCATGAGCCTGCGAAATCGTCGTTACGGCCAAATTTACATCCTCGACGGCCAGATAGTGCATCCCATGCATTCGGTGAAAGACCAAGATGTTCTCTCACACTACGATTTGTAGTCTGTGGACAACACAAACAAGCCACACCGAAACTGACTGCACTTGCCTAGGATATTCAATCGCAGCTTCTGTACTTTTTCTGTAAAAGTCACCAATTACCTCTTTAATACCGTAAAATGCCCAATGCTATTCACCTGCCTACTGTCCGATCACCCGAACTGAAGCGTAGAATACCGAACGAGTCCAGCTCATCTCTGTCAAGACCACTCCCAGTATACGGGGTTTGCCGTACGAAGATCGGTAAGTGAGGCTAAGAATGTACACAGTGTCTTATCATGCGGGTCGAGTCTACCCCATCATAACTTGCTACATTTAATGTGCTAGGAATCTATGCATGTTCCGTCCGCTGTTCCATTTGCCAACGCTCTGCATTATACGTGCACACCGTCAAAGACTTGTGGTCTGGGGTCTGAGATGAGCTGCCCACTCCCTGTGCCGCAAGTGCAGAGTGGTCATCTTTTGGAATAGTTTATCAGAACACATAAAACAGACCGATTCTGTGTTGGATTCACATTTCACCACCATGATATTCAGAGAACACAGCCGCTGAAACTGCGTTCCACGTTTTTGAATGCTATATTACCATGTGCAGGGGGGTTCGGAAAGATTACAAAAGAACTCGACGAACAATTAGATTATGGTTTTACTAGCCTTTTGATCATATTTGGATAAGGTTGTACAATTTCAATTTTCTACTTGTCTCCATAATGCAGTATTCAGTATTCATGGAAGTTCATTGAGAGTCACAGCATTGAATCAATGATGACACAACAGTTCAAGTCGATGAACTCGGAGGCAATAACTGGACTTGCGCTACACACTGGGTCAGAGTTATTGGTGATGTGGCATATATTATTCACATGGACGTTGCTTGCATTCAGCGACTCATTATTGCTCCACCTTCGCTCTCTTATCAAACGGCTACAGATATCGTCGACCCACATATACGCAATTGAGGTGGTTGCGGAAATTAGAGGATTCGACTCCTTTATTGTTGAAAGAGTTCGCTACGCCTGTAATTTTAGTAAGTGGAAAGGTTCTCATCGCCTTATGTGATAAATGTATATTCAATTTGAGCATTAGTTGCAAAATAGATGGTTCGAGCAGCGATCGTTGCAGAAAGCCGGGGATTTACACTAGTGTACAGAGCAAGGGAAAACTTTTCAAGAGAACGAAGCTTTATATTCACCTATTTCTCAGTCTTCACATAGATTGGCGCACCTATTTCACTTTTGATCAAGTGCCACAACATAACATTTGAGTGTTGATTGTGTGGACGGAAAAACCACTTGATTTTTGAAGCCGATGCGTAACGGAGGCTGCGTCCGTGTGTCCAAATAAGGAAGCACATAGCTTCGCAGATTTGCGCACCTAATCGTCCCACCAGTCGTACGCGCAACCATAAGTCTAACGAGCTTAATAATCGCAAGCTTTTGGTGTCTACAACGAGTAATCCAAGCCACATTGTACCACTTTGTCTGCAGCGGTTTCATGTCGCTCTCTTCCATCCTTGCACTCCACGACCGTGGGTTTCCTTGTTTGGACTCACCAAGTGGAGATACCCAGGGTCAGGCGTGGAACTCGGCACATGCTGGTTGGTGGCTATCGCCATGATCACTAGACCATCGGGCTCCACAAAATTCCTTATCACAATCCAAGACACACGACGGGTACTCCAACCATCACAATGAGGCTGGATCTTGTCGTGGTGCGATGATTTGCATGCCTCAGAGATCCACTGAGTTATGCTGGGTGTGCATTTTTTGCACTTTCAGAGCCACTCACAACAGATTGGTCAATGGATAGAGACTGGACTAACTTAGCCTCCTGGTTTTCCAGCTTGGGAGCTGGAAGGAGAGTGGCTCCTTATTTCTTGAAACGGACTCCTTGTAGCCCACCGCCAAACCCGCTGCCTTACGGTTAGGTTTTTGGACCAAAGGCTTTGGTTGAGAACCCTAATCGTTCGCATGTGTTGGTCTGGGCGACTTCACAGTATCCTGCCCACGAATTACTATGAATCTTTCCTCAAACAATTCCCTACTGCTCTGGCCACCGGAGAAGATAACCAACGGTCCCTTATCTGTTGCATTGAGCAGAGTGGATAAGGAG